TGTTCATTTAGAGTTTCCAGGTGCACACAGAGATGGCAGTATGCACATTTAGGGTCTTTCATGTTCCATACATTTACAGTGGAGCTTGCTGGCAATTATACTGCTTTCTGGCCCTTTGTGTACATTTAGACCGATTTCCCACAAACCGCTGCTCCGCCCTCACTCTTCCTCCCCCCCCATTGTATGTGTCAGTTTCCCACTACTTGCTGTGCAGCTGCATTTTGACCTGCAGCTTCACCCGATTTCCCCGCGTCTTTTTGATCTTGTTTTTTGAGGATCAAAAAGACGCAGGGGAAATCGGGTGAAGCTGTGGGTCAAAATGCGGCTGCACAGCAAGTAGCAGGAAATTGACACAATTGGGGGGAAAGGAAGAGCGAGGGTGGAGCAGCAGCTTGTGGGAAATCGGTCTTAGTCTCCACAGGTTTCTTCTGTGAAAAGAAATATTATTGTGGTAGTTCCTGTGGAACTGTTGTAGGAAGGCATCACCATGAGTAACCATACTTATGTTCTCCTTTTGCTTACAGTGCATGTTGGGTCCCTGACACAGTCTAGTTCTGAATGGCTACCAGAGTTAACCCTGCACTGGTTGACAATGGCTGTAGGAATTTGTAAACTTTATATAGGTTTCACAGAGAAAAATAACGGATGTATTTATTTGGTAAATTATAGGGGGGGGAAACATTAAATGAAAAGATAAAATATCATATCATTTGGTGCTTTCTTGAAGGTGGGAATCACTGATTCTAAGTGAAGCTTTGAAAACAAGATGGATGGTAGGTATAATGAGCCAACTCCTGCAGAGTATCCACAGTTCCCACTGATATTTGCAGTTCACAACTTTTTTGTGTCTGAAAATTGTAACACACTTTCAAGGTAATTGTAGAGAAAAACAACCCAAGCAAATTAAAAATCCTGGAAATCTACCAAGCCAACAGTTCTCCTTTTAAAATCTAGTAGGGTGGATCTGGGCGTCCTCTAAGTGGCTCTTTCTTCAACGGAAAAGCCACTTAAGTTGTGGAGGAAGTTTCCTCAAACTGGAGGAAGACTTCAAACTTAAGCCAAAAGGAAAGGTGGATTTGACTTGATTTATTAGACTTATATTCCGCCCTCCCCTGCGAGCTCATGGTGGGGCACAACATTTCACTGAACAACAATTAAACATTAGGATTTAAAGAAACAAACAAATTTAACAAATTTAACATTAACAGATAAAGGAAGTCATGGCGACCGCTGGCGACTCCTACTGGGGCATGGAGGACATTCAGAGAAGTGGCTTGATGGTCTGCCTCTGCCTCCCAGTCCCGGTATTCTTTGGAGGTCTCCCATCCAAATCTTGCCAGCGTCGGCCCTGCTTAGTTTCCAAGATCTGACGAGATTGGGCTTGCCCAGGCTATCCAGGTCAGGGCTAGAAACAGCACTCTTATTGGTTAATCTCTTTAAGTATCTGGCACAATCAGACCAGCTAGAAGGGGGATACCCTACTGAGTGGCCGTCTGGAAGGATAGCTTGGGGTCTCCCACAGCAATAGGCTTTCAAGATTCGTTTATCAATTTCTTCATTTATATCCCATCTTTCTCCCCAGTGGGGACCCAGAGCAGATTACGTTGTTCCCCTCTCCGCCATTTTATACTTCCAACAACTCTGAGGTAGATTATCTGTGTGGTGTTGCTTCATTTGGTGATGAACCCAGTGTCACCCAATGAGCTTCGATGTCAGACTGAGGATTCAAACTTTGGTCTTCCAGATCCTAGTCTGAAATTCTTAACGACTATACCACACCAGCACGAGGGAGTGCAGCTTACAGCAGGCAATAGCTTGTGACTGGCTGTCTAGAATTGCCTGATTCCGAGGAACAAGAGTATTCTGGGTAGTGATGCTATAATCAGTTGCTATGACAGAGTCACGGATGCTGGTTGAAGTCTTGTGGTACAGTGATGGCTCAAACACTTCTGTCATTGCTGGAAAAGTAACTTTAGTGATTTGATATCAGTATCCTATTTTAGACAGCAGGCCCTGTACAAAAATGAGGAATTATTTAAATCCCTAGGCACCTGTCTCACATTGTTAAGAACTCTGGCCCATGAGACCCTGTTCTGTTCTATTCCTGCTGCTTATTTGAATGATTGTTATTTAGGATTTCTTTACTGATTTCACAGAGGAAAGGAGGGAAGGAGTCTTAACCAGTTTATTTGAAACAGTGTTTATTTAATAAAGAGGGCCAAAATCAACTCTCTTTGTAATGCCATTTAGCAATTTATTGGCTCACCATCCAGGCTCCGTTTAGCCTAGGCAGCATGCAAAGCAGAAGCAACATCATTTCTCCAGCTAAATGGCTGAAAAGGCATTTATATTATGTGCATTCTCCCCCCCCCAAAAAAAAATGTTTACATTGAGTGCTCTTTGTGCCTCTTAATCTTTCCGTATGGTGTCATTCTGAAATGAGCAGCGATCACATGGTTCCTTTTGTGGCCCAGCTGCCAACGCGAGGGTGAGGGAAAGAAGTATATCTATATTTGCCTAATGCATTATGAGAGAGTCAGGAAAAAAAAAGTAGTAATTTACTTGCGGGGGGGGGGGGGGAGGGATGAAAATTTCCCCTTCCATTATGGAGTATGTGGTGTTGAAAATTTATAGTCTTTCACTCGGGAGTTTAAAAAAGAAATACTCCAAAAAGGTGCACTGCTGAAATCTAGCCTTTAGTTATGAGCCTGCTTATTAAGAAGAAAAGCTGGAGAAGCTGGTGGGTGGATTGCAGCGTGCACTGACTGTTTCTGAAGGATTAATGTCTTTTTAAAAAATGGATATCACGTACATTTTCACAGCCTCACTGTGACCAAAAAAGAAACGAAAAGGGAAAGCAATGATGGTATCGTAACCAGGAGGGTGGATTCCCCCTCTCACTTCCTTGTCTCCTCACGTTCCTCCCCTTAGCGTGCGTGCATGTGCGTGTGTGTAAAGCGCTGTTAAGTTAGGGATCCCAAATCCCCCCAGGGGGGCGGGGAAACCCCTACCCTAGAGGCCCGTTCCCCGGCGCCGCCGGATCGGGCCCCGGGGGGAACTCCTCCCCGACGTGCGCATCACCCGGAAGTGAGGCGGGCACTCTGGGCATGCTGGGGGCAGGGCCACGGCCATACAAGGGAAAACTCTATGGTTTTCCCTTGTATGGTCATGGCCCCGCCCCCAGCGTGCCCGGCGTCATAACGTCACTTCCTGGATCCACCTGGGAGTCCCCCGCCACCAAGGTAAGCTCCACTTGGCAACCCTATGTTAAGTCACTGCTGACTTACGGTGTCCCCATAGAGTTTTCTAGGCAAGACATGAACAGAGGTGGTTTGCCATTGCCTGCCTCTGTGTAGCAACCCTGGACTTCCTTGGTAGTCTCCCGTACACATGCTTGCTTCTGAAATCGGATAAGATCAAGCTAGCCAGGGCCATCCAGGTCAGGGATTATCCTCCATACCAAACTATAACCTGCTGTGATTTAGGTCCCAATAACGAGTCTAGGATTTTCCTCATGAATAGGCATTTGAAGGTTGCCACCCAAACGTCCAGGAGCAGCAAGTCCCCTCCTGATGTCAAGAGACAGGTGTGACCCTCACGAGGGAAGGCCCTGAACTGTTTTCCATGAAAACGTTGGCTTCCTTGAGGCTGTGTTTCCCTTCCTTTTTGTGAGATGTGCTCATCAGATCATGAGTATGGTTAAGCAACCCATTCCTAGTGATGTAATGTTTTCTAGGCATAGCCGAGGTTCTGTGTTGCTTGCTATTTTGGTTCTTCTATTTTTTGCTAATTTAAGGCTCTTTCTTAAGGAACATCTGCACTAAGAAAACCTAGGGCCTCAATACACATTGTGTGGCATTTTCTGTGGGCTAAAATTAGTTCCAACTTGTTCATTTTAACTTGTGGTGGGCTGGAGTGGGCTTGGTTGTTGCCATCTCTTTAAATTGCATCTCTCTTTTGGGTAAATGCAGAAGTTATCTCTTGGTTCAGGAGTCAATGGGCAAAAGATGTTTTTTCATAGTGTTTCAGAGGTCTTGACTTTTGTGGGGGATTTGCAGTTCTGGACAGTCCAGTCTAACAAGAGATTGCGCCGAGTGAACAAAGCACAGTATGGTCCTGACCACATCACTTGTATAGGAGCAAAGTAAACTCAGGGCAAAGGACACTGAAAGTTAATGTTTGCGTTCCCCCTCCCCCCTTCCTATTCATAGATCAGACTGACTTGTAACAAGTTGCTAAATGAATCTCTTTGTTCATTTCTCTAGTCTGGGGGGGGGGAATTATGCACCACTGTTTAATTGCTGGTGGCAGCACAGGTGTTTAACATTCCACTCCCTCTTGTCTAGGAGATCCTAAAGTTCCTGGGCTTGCTTGTTGTTTCATCCAGCTTGGTGGTGGTTCTTCTTGAGTTCCACCATGGCCCTTTTTCATTCCCACACAGATATGTCCCACATGGACCTTTTCCTCTGTGCTTCCCAGTGACTCCAATCCACCCTGTCCCAGCAGCTACATCACCTATCAACATCTCTCTCTTGAGATTCTTGTCCTTCTTTCCAAGTGCCTCTGGAACGCCTGACTTTGGCAGTTCTTGGCTTCCTGACGTATTAGGCTCTCATTCCTTCCTTCACTTCTACTGTGCTAAAGTTAGCTATTCATGCAGAAAAGAAGAGATGGCAGCCAGCAGCGGAGGCAGGTATGATCGCCACCACTGATAAGTGGATTGAATTTTACTCTTTGAAGCCCTCTCAGATTTGTCAAGTAGGAGCCTCCTGTTTGTAGGCCATAGACCTGAAGCTCAATTCATCTGAGCCCTAGTGATCCACGTACTTAATGGCAACACTGGTCTCTTTTGGCTCTAAGTACATGTGTTTGTTGTTTCCTTTCACAGTAATTTATTCCACAGGAAGCAAAAGTTTAACATTTTATTGCTTCCCCTTATATATTCTTCATAAATATACTGCACAGGCAGTAGCTGATATTCTCCCATTAATCTGTTGCAGGTGACTTTAGGTGGGACCTTTATTGGCATTGGACGCAAAACTCCAGATTGCCAGGGCAACACCAAGTATTTCCGCTGCAAGTTCTGCAATTTCACCTACATGGGCAATTCATCGACAGAGCTGGAGCAGCACTTCTTGCAGGCCCACCCAAACAAAATAAAATCCTCCCTTCCTGCGTCTGAATCCAGCAAAGTTTTGGAGAAGAACTCCAGCAAGCCCAGTCCCACCGTTCGGTCATGCGAGGCTGGAGATCTGGGGAAGTGGCAGGACAAGATCACCATAAGAGCCGGAGACGACACGCCAGTTGGTTATTCGGTGCCCATCAAGCCTCTCGAACCCTCAAGACAAAACGGTACGGATGCCTCCAGTTACTACTGGTGCAAATTCTGCAGCTTTAGTTGCGAATCGTCCAGCTCCCTCAAACTGTTAGAACATTACAGCAAGCACCACGGGGGGAGCCAGGCAGGGGGCCTTCACCCAGATCGGAATGACAAGCTTTCGAGGGGGTCGGTCATTAATCAGAATGACTTAGCCAAAAATGCAGATGGAGAGTTAGCGGCCAAGACCGAGAAGGGCTCTAGTGTGGCAAAAAGGAAAGACTTCTCCAGCTCAGGAGCGGAGGACAACGTGGTGACGAGCTACAATTGTCAGTTTTGCGATTTTAGGTACTCTAAGAGCCATGGCCCAGATGTAATAGTGGTGGGGCCTCTTCTTCGTCATTATCAGCAGCTGCACAACATTCACAAGTGTACCATTAAACACTGTCAGTTTTGCCCCCGAGGCCTTTGTAGCCCAGAAAAGCACCTTGGAGAAATTACTTATCCTTTTGCTTGCAGGAAAAGTAATTGTTCCCACTGTGCTCTCTTGCTCTTGCACTTGTCCCCTGGGATGCCAGGAGGCTCCAGAGTCAAGCACCAGTGTCACCAGTGCTCTTTCTCCACTCCTGATGTAGACGTTCTCCTGCTTCACTATGAAACCACACATGAAGCCCAGGCCTCTGAAGTCAAGCAAGAAGCCAATGCCCTGCAAGGGGTGGACGGGCTGTTGACTGTCAAAGAAAGCAAAGAACACTCGTGTACCAAATGTGACTTTGTCACTCAGGTAGAAGAGGAGATTTCTCGACACTACAGGTAAAGTGTGTGTGAGTGTGTTTTGGCGCACGTGTGTATTATTAAAATAAGTCTCTGTTCGCCAGCAAAAGTGGTATCTAGAGGGTTGTTTCATATTGTAGTCATTGATACACTTATATTTGAGTCCAGTGACGCCTTAGAGATCTATGAGATTTTCGGGGTATGAGATTTCGAGAAGGGAGCTTTGGCTCTCGAAATCTCATACCCCGAGAATCTCATTGGTCTCTAAGGTGCCACTGGACTCTCATCTAGCTGTTGTACTGCAGACCAATAGATCTGTTCTCTGAAACTATCTTTGATCAGAGAAAAGCATGCAGTCTGTCCCCCTGGGCAAACACAAGAGTAATGGGGTGAGAATACTGCCATATTTGTGTAGGCATGAATCAGCTGATCTCTCCTTCTTGCTATATACACATCTATCTATAGATACTTATGATAGATATACCCCTGCTTTTTCCCCGATGGGGCCCAAAGCTGCTCACATCAATGTTCTCCCGTCTTCCAATTTGGTCTCACAACAGCCTTGTGAGTAGATTAGGTTGAGAGAAATTGACTGGCCCAAGGTCACTGTGTGAGTTTCCATGGCTGAAGTGGGGACCTGAGATCCAACACTCTAATTGCTGTACCATGCTGGCTTTTCCACCCAATGCTTTTGCACTGCACATTATTCCAAGTGCGTTGGGTGGTCTGGGGATGGCACTTGCTTATCCACCATGGGACTAAGAGAATACAAGAGGTATCTTTGGAACAATGCAGACTTTCCTGTTCTTTAAACATGGATACCATAGTGTGACATCCATTATGGGAAATGCTCCTGACTATGTGAAACAGTTGTGTATTACACAGGAAATGGGAAGTCCTTAGACATAGAAGGGGTTGTGCATCATGGTCTAAGTCCTTCTGTACACATTGGATATGTAAATAAATATATAGACAGACACACATACACAGGCATATTTCCCGTCAAATCACAGCTGATTTATGGCAACCCCATGGGGTTTTCAAGGGAAGAGACATTCAGAGGTGGCTTGCCATAGTTGCCTCTGTGTAGCGACCCTGGAATTCCTTGGTGGTCTCCCATCCAAATACTAGCTAGGGCTGACCCTTCTTAGCTTCTGAGGTCTAATGAGGTTGGACTAGCCTGGGCTTTCCAGGTCAGGGGCGATTCCATATGAAGCTATAAATAATATGGTCGTGCAAGTATTATTTAAAGCGTGTCTCATCAATTCACAGCTCTGAGATCACAACCCCATGAAGACTGCATACGAATCCGATTTGTGATGATAGGATGGATCTACTCCCAGTTTTCCAATGACAAGTAGCAGACGTACGCCACCAGACTTTGGTGCTTTGCCATAGCCTGCCTCTGTGTAGCGACCCGGGTATTTCTTGGTGGTCTCCTATCCAAATAATAGCCAGGGCCAGCTCTGGTTAGTTTCCAAGATCTGATAAGATCTATCCAGGTCAGGACATAGATATTTGTATTGGGGTGATTTTCCAGTTCTCATTGGCAGTCTGGTCCACATCTCTCTAAACATGGTGCAACTGGATGGCAGCATTTCCACTCTCACACTGGATCAGATCTATGCAGCTCCTTTGTTTTGGGTATCTAAGCCATGTGCCATCTGCCGAGGCTAAAAGCAGCACCGTTGTCTTGGTCGAAGAACCAAAGAGGATGGGGGAGGTTTGCCAGACCCCTGATCCAGCCAGGGGATCCCCTGATCTTCGGGGCTTCATTCCGCCACCAGCTGTCTGGCTGCTGGGGAAAGCCCCACCCCAAAGAGGGCCTTCGTGTGTCAACATGGTTGGCATGATGATGTCTCATGGAGTTTCAGTCCAAACGCTAGAGTGTTGATGTCCCTTGCATGATGTCACTTCCGTGTGATGTCATCATGCTGACAGTGTCATGCACAGTGATGTTGCCCCCGCCCCCACACTCCCAGATGGCTCCTTCCCACCCCCCGCCATCAGGACAATTGAACTTGGCAGTCCTAGGATGGGGATTGCCAAGAGAATGTGTGCAAAAAAGTCTCTCTTCTTTGAAGGTTGAAAGGTTTTACGTTATCTTTGAAAATTACACGGAACAATTACTGTATCAGATGAAAGTCAAACTGTTAATGTCAGGTACAAAGATTCCTGTTAGTTGTTTTGTGTCAAGTAGGGAGATTTATAAAGTTGGAGGGTTTCCCCCCCCACGAGATGTCCTACAAAATGGAACTCCAGCTGCTGAGAAACACAGCAGTTTCCTTATTAGCTGCTGCTAGCAGTGCCAGTTCCAAATTCAGTAAGACTAAAAATAAACGAAGTGTAGTCTATGTGCTGAATATATACCTATAATGATAATATCACAGCCTAAATTAATGGTGCTCAAGTCCTATTAATATCAATGGGAGAGTGAAGTTTTCAAGTTCCCTATTCTACAGAAGTCATTTTCTAGCAGTTGTGCCTTAAAACAAATGAACAAGCAAACACATTTGAATCTCACTTAATACGGAGTCAGGCCATTGATCTGTTCAGTCTTCTGGCGTGCACTCCAACTTCTGGCGTGCACATTCTTTATACCTCCTTTTAATCATATGTAGTTCCCACTGGTAGCAGAGTATTTTCAGTGACAATCGTCCCCAGCCATGCTACCTGAGGTCTTACCTGGATATGCCAGAGATTTAACCTAAGACCTCCTGCATGCAAAACAATGGGCCACAGATTTTGCCTAACAATGAAGAAGAACTGATTTAATGTTGTGTTTATCTCAAAGGGCCAGGTGGTCTTCCCTAGCATATGAAGTGAGCTCTAACTCATGAAAACGTGAGCTGGAATAAATTGTGGTTCCTGATTTATTTTGCTGCAACAGATATAACACAGGTACCCACAAATTTTCCCCTAGCCATGGATTTGGAAAGCAGCAGCTCTCCATCGCTGCAATACAGATGGATGTGGCTGAGTCCTGCAAGAATCTCTGAATCAGTACAATACGAAGTTCAGTGGCTGGGATCTCGCCTAGAATTTCTGTGGGCACAAGGAAGACAATTTTTTTCTGGTTCACCCTTCCTGCCGCAGCACCAGATGTGCCCCGAAATGCTTCTCCTGGAGGGCAGGGAGCCACAGGAATAGCTTGGGGGGGGGGGAATCAGTGGTCTCCTGTGGGTGGGAATGGGCAAAATCACACCTCTTTTGTGCTTGTGAAAATCCTAGGAGGGATCCAAGCCTATATGCCTATTGGGAGAACCTGTTTGGTGTAGCAGTTAGGAGCGCAGATGCTAATTTGGGAGAGCTGGGTATGATTCTCCACTCCTCCACATGCAGCTGCTGGAGTGACCTTGGGTCTGTCACAAGTTCTCTCAGAGCTGTTCTTTCACAAGCAGTTCTCGAAAGAGCTCTCTCAGCCCCACCAACCTCACAGGGTGTCTGTTGTGGGGAGGGGAAGGGAAAAGGAGATTGTAAGCCACTCTGAGGCTGTGGTCACACACACTAAATAATCCACTTTCAATCCACTTTTAAACTGGATTTTTACTGTGTGAACTGGCAAAATCCAGTTGGAAAGTGCACTGAATGTGGATTATTTAGTGTGCGTGACCGCAGCCTGAGACTCCTTCAGGTAGTGAAGGGTGGGGTATAAATCCAATTTCTTCTCTCTCTCTTCTTCTGCTTCTCTTATTTTTTTGTATTTTTGTCAGCCCAGTGAAATAGTCTTTGTTGCATTTTTTCCTTCCATTGGGTCCTTCTCCCATATAGTTCCATATATATATATTCATTTTTTTGTTGAACCTCTTCTATCCAGGCGGAACACTGCAAAGGGAAACAGCCTTTGTTTAATTTCCATTATGTCTAAGAAAGTTCAAAAACAATGGTCTTCTGTACTTACGAAGACCTAGGGTTGATTCCCAAGTTCACTTTTGAGATGGAAAAGATACCACAAGGTGGCTTTCTTCCTAAATTGTCATATGATTTAGTGGCCTTGGCAAATGGGATGCCATCTGGCAAAATCGCAATCTGTCAATTAAAAAAAAAGATAATTTGTAATCTTATTCTTTGGGAGGTCACTCTTCTCATTTTGCTTGTAAACACGTTGGGAAACATGTTGCCTTCTGTGGATTTTCCCCCCATTTCAAAAATGAATTGCTGTTGTGAAGCTCTGATCTGGTATTGGATTCCATGAATGAATGAATGAATTTACTTCACTTATACCCTCCCTTTCTCTCTAAGAGGGATCCAAAGGGTCTGACATCAGTCTCATCTCCATTTCGTCTCCTCAGCAACCCTGAGAGGTAGGTTAGGCTGAGGGTTGTTAAAGAATTGGGTCCCTGTTCTCTGAACCCAATTCGTGTTCCCCACAGCCACACAGCAGCTCGGAATAGCAGCACACGGAGAGGGAAAGGCTCCTGCCTCCTCCCAAACAATTTTTTTTCATGCAAAAAACCATGCAGGGGGTGGTTTATGCTGCCAATCTTGCTGCTCCACGTGGAGTATCTATGCTGGTGGAGTAGCAAAATCAACGACATAACCCCCCCCCCCCGCCGCCGCATGGTTTTCATGCAAGAAAACTATGGGAGGGTGCTCCCCATTGGGGGGGGGGGACTCACCCAACCCATTTGGACTCTTCTTTTTTAAAAGAAGCTGTGTGGCTGCAAGGGAACAAGAGTTCGCTCCAGGGAACTTGACCCAGCTTTTTAAAAACTCTAATGCATAGGTTGGTCCTCTGCGAATGTGAGTGGCCCAAGGTCGCCTTGCAAGCTTCCCCAACAGAGTCGAGATACAAGCCTGGGTCTCCCAGATCTTATATCTGAGACTCTAGCCACTACACAACACTGCACTGAATGAAAGCATTGAGTTAAGTTATCCTGAGACCAGGTGGAGAAGAAATAGGAAGGAAGAGGGATACCTGCAAGTTGCAACATAATGTGGTCCTTCAGTTTAGAGAAATGTGGAAATCACCTGGATATTTCTCGGCAGCTGGCTGTATTGACTAGATCTGAGGAACCTATAAAATCATGGCGCCTTGT